CACCTTCTGCTCTTGGGTTTTAAACATACCGAGTATCTGTTTATAAAGATGTTATTGAAAAGTTTAGAACTCACTTTTTTTCCCCACTGGTTGTTCCACTGCCCTATCTAGAACTTACCCTTTCATTCTTTAACTTCTTTGTGTTGGAATTGCTACAGAAGTGTGTAGCCCCTCGTCTAGGCATGGGCTGCGCTTTTGCATTCTTGCTCTCCTTCCCACATATGCTGGATGATGTAAAAGACATTAAGCAGCTATTCATGTACACTCAGCAACCAGCTGCTCCCAGGCTGATTTAGTTGACAGTTTCCAACAATACAAGACCTGCTCAAAAGCCATTTCTGCAAAGATACATAAATGTAGGTGTGAGGAGCCCCTTACAGATTGAGGACCCCTGCCTGTCATAGGAAAGGATGAGAGCAAATAAGACAAAATTCAAAGCCTAGGTCAGATTCTGATCTGAGTGGGAGTATAAACAGAGAATAATTCCACTGAGAGCAAAATCACTTCCAACTTAAAATGTTGTAAAAGAGATTGAAATTTTTTCTTTGGTGTAAACAGAGCCCACACTGACAGAAATGTAAGTGACGGTACAAGTCATGTATCAGGTGTAATTTCATCAAGTGACACTACTTTTATTAGTTTTGTGGGTGTGCAAAATGATTCTGAGTGGGATAGAAAGTAAGATAAGGAAGGCTTTCATGTCCTTGTAGTTACTCATCCTGCAACTTACATCTTTGGCATTTAAATCATAATTATATTTCACATCTCTGGAATGCTAAGTGGATGTTACACCACTTTCCCACTAACACCCATCTTGTGGTAGTCACACCCATTGTTTAACTTCTACCACCCTTCATTTTATTGCAGCAGGCAGCCCACAGAGGTTAACCACAGGCGTTTCTGTCAAAAAGTACAGGGCTATTGTATTAGCTGAGCAAATTTCGGGTGTTTGCTGCCACAGAACAAACCAGGAGAGGTCAAAGGTAGGTGTGTGCGCACAGACGTGTCACTGGGAAAAGCGGGAGGCTGCAGCTGGTTTGGAGCCCCCTGTCAGGGTCCGGGCTTTGGAGGGAAGCCAGGTATTGCCTTCCAAACAGGCACAGCTGGATGCTGGGGCAGAGCCCGGCAGCGCGGGGCTGTATCGCTCTGGGATCTACATGCAAAACCCTCTTATCAACAGCACATCAAGCACCTGAAACATCCCATTGTATCCAAACTCGCAACGGAGATCTGAGCAGTTAATGAGTTACTGCGTGGTGAAGATGCACACTTTTTTAACTGTTAATTAAAACAAATTATACCTTAAGACTATAAAATGCCATAAGTTTTTCTTTCAGGAATAAACATTCCTTTGGATTTTTAGATAGTTGACCCAAAAATTCAATAATCTGAATAATCAGTGAAACATCAGTCTTCTTTTGCTATTTGCAGGCTTGTTTAGAATTTAAAAGTTTATATAAAAATAACAAAAGGAATTTGTCAACTGTAAAATGACCCCAGTAGTGCAGTGTCAAAGCAAAGCCAGGACTGCAGGCAGGCTGCACTGAGCCTGACCACAGATATACAGGCAGCTCAATCCTACCTGCTTCCCAGTGAGGGATGCCTGGCTCCAAACGCCTGTCCAGCACTCTCCTGCTCCCTGCACGGTGCCTTTGCTGGTTTTAAGACTATTTTATTTGATCCTTTCTTCTCACATCAAGCATTAGCTACTGACTTTAAACATAAAAGCTGCCAGCAGTGAGTACATAGAGGATTTTAGAAAACAAAGGGTGAAAGTAATGGCCCATGGGGAAAAAAAGAGGATCTTTTAAAACAATAGATCTCCTCTTTTACATGCCAGCTAACTGGGGCATGTGTTAGTAATGCACACGTTGTGCTGGTGCTGAGAAATTATTTGCTCAGGGAGGAGATGGTGGGGAAAAGAACTCTGCATGAAATAATTGGAAAAGGCTGCTTTGAACTTCTCAGATGTAAAATGTTTTACTTAGGAGCAACACACCTTTTCCTTGACAGCTGGTTTGCTGCTGGCAAGGAGTCCTAAAGACACAGTGACAAACTGCTGGGCTGACTGCCTTCCAAATCAAGCTGTGCTCACATCTCTGTGATGGGAATAAATGACATCATTCAAGACCATGGTGTATCAACATTCTAGTGCAGAACACCCTCATGTTCCATACAGTGTGCCCCTATGACAGTCCAGCCTGTATGACCATCTACAGCTCCTCTTCGCTAATGTTTATTTAAGGAGATGCAGAAAAATGCACATATCTGGCCTTTTTTTTTTTTAAGAGCTAAACGATACCACTTAGCTAAAGAGCGACCTGCAGTCTCTCTCCCGCTGCTAATGAGCAGATAATCAATCATTCCTTCCACAGTTCTCCACAGCAATGAGAGGTCAGTTATCCATATTCATCTTTCCCGCAAGTCTGCCAAAATGAGTCTTTAGTTCCTAAGGCAGCAATGGTTTTGGTTCTTTGAGGGACAGCAACTGAGACAATGAGTCCCTGTGGCACAAAAAGGAGGGGTCACAGATTCCTGTGATAGCTGGGCAGCTCATATGCCTTCCAGCAATACTAAGTTTCAAAATTCAGTTTCCACAAAAGTAATTTTGTCTTCTTTTGCTCAAATCAAGGTCTCAGTGGCCTGTGACAACTGGCACCCTGCAAACGCCGAGCACACGTGGCTGCAGGATGTGCCTGGCAAAGCGAAAACTTCACTTGATTGTCATTCTTGATTGAACATTCATACCTTTTTTTTTTTAAGATTCAGCCAAAACCAAATCATAGTGAAACTTCAATCACAGCTAAAGTATTCCATCTCCACATAGTGAAAAACAGACTAGAATGACAGATCATATTCTTCCATGATGGTGTCACATCCTCATTTCTACCAGTGACAGAAGCCTGCAAATTTCAAGACATTCCCATTAAGGATTTATTTGACTCAATTCTCACTGTTTCCATCTGCAAGCTGCAATCACAAATATATGCATCTTTGGTGAAAAAGAATGAAATTACTGAATCAAGTTATTCAGTAAGGGTATCTGAAATCAGGGTAACTTTCACAGTGTTTAGGATTTTCTAATGCCAGTGTGTTTCTGCTGGCAAATTGATCTGAAACTCTGATCTGAAACCCCAGTCGATACCTCTGAACCTGCCTCTCTAAGTCATTGAACTGACACTGTTCATCAGCTGGGATAAGAACTCTGCCATTCTATCTCGTGCCTCAGATTTCTGACTGAACTTGGATCTCTTTTAAGCTTTCTCTTACATATGGAGCAGTCTTTTGATCAGAAAAAGAAAACTGCATGCAAAGAGAATATAATTAAATAGTAAAAGCAAGGACATGGATTTTATCACTGGTTTCCTGTATCATTTTAAATAAGCCAATTTGCAGAAAATTAGTATTCTACAACATTCTTTTAATTTGAATAAACGAAAGTCTAGTCCCTTTTGATCAGTTTTCATTCTTTTAGTCTGAGGTGGTCGAGGTATTATCTGGTTTTAGTAGGACATACAGACTCTTGCCCCGGGAGTGCCTCCCATGCCATAGGAGCCTGAGGAAGACCAGAAATGCTGACTTAGACTGTGGAGAGGGGGAAGGGAAACAAAAAAAATTGCTTTACTTATTTCTTAGCTTTCTCATGAAAAGCACACAGTGTCCAGGTAAACTCTAAAGCACTATGAACTTGTCTCTTGTCTTGTCCAACTGTCACTCATGTTTTCATACAGTTAGAATGGTTTTCTCCTCCTTTCTGTTTAGTTTTCAATTACTTACAAGCAGTGAAAGAGGTTTTAATGCAGTGTGAGAAATATAGCAGAGAAAATGAAGTCTCAGCTATCCTTGGATGGCCTTGCTTATATAATATAGAAGCCTACAGAAATATAACACCATGGACACAAACCCCAGTATAGATTTATGCACCTTATTCATACCTTGGCTTCCAGCCAAATGCAACTGAATGCATGAATAGAAATATTTCCCAGCATTGGAAACACCCAAGCTTAAAAACAGGTATCAATATTAAGGCCATCAGAGACACAACCCTCCCTGCCCCTTTTCTTACTTCATTCTGAGGGTCACTCAGTGAAACTCATAGATGCTCACTGATAGACGTGACTTTTAGTCACTATTTGAGAAGCATAGCAGGGCTGTAGGCTCAGAGAGCTGTGGGCACTGAGGGCTGTGGGGCACAGAATCACTGAATCAAAGATCTCTGAGACCATTGAGGCTAATGTGTGACCAAACATGAGCACGTCAACTAGGCTATGGCACCGAGGGCCACGGCCAGTCTTTCCTTGGACACCTCCAGGGACGGTGACTCCACAACCTCTGTGGGCAGCCCCTTCTGATGTCTAATCACATTTTATGTGCAGAAATTCTTCCAAATGTCCAACCTAAACCTCTCCCGGCACAACTTAAGACTATGTCCTCTTGTCCTATTGGCACTGAACGCTGTGGGCACCGAGCACTGCGGGCACGGAGCACTGTGGGCTCTGAACGCTGTGGGCACCGAGGTTTGTGGGCACTGAACACTGTGGGCTCTGAATGCTTAGGGTACCGAAGTTTGTGGGCACCGAGGTCTGTGGGCACTGAGCACTGTGGGCACGGAGCGCTGCCCGCCCCGGGCGCCCCCGCAGCCGCCGCCTCCGCCAAGATGGCGCTGCCACCCCCGCCGCGGCCTGGAGCTGCGCGGCCGCTGGGGGGCGCTCCAGGCGCGGGCTCCCTTGCGCCCCCCGGCGGCCGGGGCAGCCCTGCCCCCGCAGCCGGGTGGAACCAACGCGCGAAGCGCGGGGGGGAGGGCGGGTCAGCCCACTCCGCGCACCTCCGCCCCCTCCTCTCCCTCCGCCCTTTCCGCATATCCACACCCCCTCCCCCGCTTTACCTTGGAGCAGCCGCGCCGCGGCCCCGCCCCCGCGGGGTCCCGCCGCGCTCCGGTGGTCGCCTGCCCTGCCCTGCCCTCACCGTGCGTGCGGCGTCGCCGCGCACGCCGCCCCGGCGTCACGTGTCGTGACGTCACGGCGCGTCCGCCAGCTGAGCGCTCGCCCGGAAGTGATGCGGCGGAGGCAGAGCCGGCCGGAGCCGCCGAGGTGAGCGAGGAGTGTGCGGGACCGACCGCGGTTCTACCCGCGGCTCTGCCTGCACCGCCGGCAGCGCGGGGCGGCGGCGGGGCGGGACTCGGCGCGGCGGGACTCGGCGCGGCGCGGGCGGCGGCGCTCGGCCGGGGCCGCCGCGCTGCCCCTCAGCCCCGCGGACGGCCGGTTGGGTTCGGGGGGGGGCCCGCGTCGCCGCCGCCCCCTCACGGCGGGGCCCCCCCCGAGCCGCAGCCCGGCGCTGCAGCCCCGCGGGAGCGCCGTGCCCGGCTGGAGCGGGGCCGCCCCGGGGCCGCGGGCGGGGCGGTCCCGGCGGGCGCTGCCCCGGGAGATGCCGGCGGGGTCCGGGAGCGCTCGGTGCCGCCGGGCCCGCCCCGCGCTCACCCCCTGCCCCGGCGGCGGTGCCGCCTCGCCCCGGCGGGTGGGTGCCCTGGGTTGTTGTGTTCCCGTGTGCGTCGCCCGCGGGGTCCCGAACGCCGCTCGCACGCCGGCGATGCGGGGGCCCCGCAGCCCCCGGGCCGGGCAGCGGCTGCTTTGTTCGGGTGCGCTCCGTACCCGGCCCTCGCACGTGTCGCGCCGGAACGTTAACGTTCGTGGTGTTTTCAGGTGAAAGGCAGAGAAATAAACTGCAAAGCGATTTATTTCCGAGGTGGTTCTGGCAATCTGAGCATGCCCCCCCTTTGCATAGCCACTTTTCCTCCTGCCTGAGCTCTCTCCCTCCCCCGAGCGTGTTTACCCTGCAGCCTGCGCTCATCACTCTCTCTCCGAGGCTGTGGTGAGACTAATAAGCTGCTGGTAACAACTTAAATTATAACTTGCATAATCAGTGTTTCAAGCAAATATTGGTTGAAAGAATGTGCCTTTCCTATCGGTGCTGTGGTTGCTGGAAAGAATCATTGATTAGCTTTTAAATAGTTAACACTGCTGATATGCTGCCCTTCAAAATGTTACATTGATAACTGGACAGGCTGATGCCAAGTGTCAGGATACAGCATTGATCCACAGCTGGTAACTTTTTTTGAATGATGTCTGCCACATAATTTAAAGGACTAATAAGTTCTCTGAAAAAAAAGGGGGTATAACTGTACAAACAAAAAGCACAGAACTGCCCTACCTTCCTGAAAATTACAGGCCTCACTGGCATGGTAGTCTTCTTTTGGCAGATCAGTTGATAAAAAGACTGATCATCTAAGCAAATTCTTATTATCTAAGAATCTCTTTGTTAAACAGTTAATGTGTAACTACAGTATAAGTATTTTATTTGGGCTGTAGCAAGGGGAAGAGAGAGTGTCTGAGTGCTGGTGTTTTTTGAGCACCTCAATACTGCTGCTTGTTTCCCTGGTGAAAGCTAATCCTCAGAAAAAGAAACATAGTCCCTTAGTTAAGGTTGCATGTGAAAGTAAAGAGATCTGACCTCGTGTTCTTGTCAGTTCTGTAGTCTGTCCCTAGTGTCTTCCCCACACAGGTGTGTCGTGGTGGTCTGTGGAAAACATTCGTAGCCCTTCATGTGAAAGGCAACTCACAGTCTAAAGCAAAGGTTTTCTGACATCAGCAGAAAAAGGAGAGCTTGTGATCTGTGTTGAATTAGTTCAGATTTGCAAAGTACAACTGGCTTTACGAACTTACTGCAAATACCAGCTCTTGTAATGATTTCTAAAATTCTGATTATTTCCTAATAGCAAGTTGTGTGCAGGCATGAGTTACTATAATCCTTAAAAAATGTCACAAAGCTATCAATGGGGGAACTTAAAGCTTTGGTAATACTTGGCTGCTCAAAGTGATGCTTTTGAAATTGCTTTCATCTTGACACTGACAGCCTGCAATATGAGCTGTAATCAGCTCTGGATCTTTAAGGCTGAGTTAGGTGCCTTCTCTGTACAGTTTCTTGCTTTATTTTGAAGCTGGATGTTGTTTTGTTTATAGCAAATTCCAACTGATTTGTGTCAGGAGTTCTCATAATTTGCTGATCTTGGAAATTCATTCATAATTACATCGTGCTTCCATTTAGCATGAATTGTATGGAAAAAAGGTGATCACAGGAAGGAGTGGCTTTGAGAGGAAACTAAGAACAGCTCTTTTGGAAGACTGTCATTGAAACTAATTAAAGAAGTATATATTGAGCAAGAAAGGCTGCCAGACAGTTTGACAGACTTCTAAGACAAAGGGACTTGTTCTGACAAATTTGTGAGTGGATGAGGAAGAGCCTTGATTCTGCTGCTTGCCTGGGTTCAGCTTAAGGAAGAGAAAGAAATCCTGTGTGTTGTGTGTCTGTGTATAGGGGCAGATGTAGATGGAAAGAAGATGGAAGAAGGACAGACAGGACTCTTCTACACTTGCACTTCCTCGTGGCAGAAAGGGATGTACAGGTGGTTTGGATGTAAAGAGATGCAGAGCTGTGGGTTGGCAGGAGTGCCCCAGCACTGCTGAAAACTGAAGGACTTGGTTCTCTTTATTGGTGCTGGGGAATTGTTGCTAAGTTTAATTTAGAGCTTTGGAGCACTGTAAAATCCATCGTGGTGGGATTTTGGCAGTTTGGAAGAACTTGCAAATTGCAGAAACAATGTTATTGTTTCATTAGGCACATGGGTCTGTGCGAGTGAATGTAACAGGAAAACTCTGAGTAAGAAGAGACTATAAAAATAAAGGCATGGGCTGTTAGAAAAACAGTCCTTTCTTTCATCCTTGTAATTAATAATACAGAAGGAGCTGAAAATTGTAGCCAGAATTCTTGGAAGACTTAAAGAACAATCTGTAAACACTTGAGGGACTTGGTAGTGGCAGGAAGATTAGAGGGAACCCCCTTAACAGCTTCATCAGAATTCCCTGGCTGGGCTCCTTCTCTCTGGCTGCTTCTCCCTAGGGGTCTGCATCTTATCTCGCTGGCTTCCTTTCTTCTGTTTGCCTCTGACTAATAGGCTTTGTCTTCTGGTTACTGGAAGTCTAATAATTTCTTTTGTCTCTTCCCCCTTCCTCCTTTTTAAAAACACTAGATTAATGGCTGCAATGTTTTGCAGACTATCTACATTGGTGACATGGATTAATTGTATACTTGACTCTAAGTTATTCAGCAGTAATGACATAGTAACTCGACTTGAAACAATTGTAATTTCGTGGCAAATGTTCAAGGCAAATGTTGCCTTCTGGTAAAGAGCCACCTGCAATTTACCCCCTGTAAACATATGACCCCAGTAAACCGTCTGTGCTGGTTTTCTCAGTGTCCTCTGTACAGTAAGTTGTCTCCAGTGTGTCTTTTGAAACAGTCAGTGATCTATCTTTTCTCCTCCCCCCCCTTTCTTTTGACTCTAGCTTGAGTCAGATAATTACAGATCTGGGTTGAAACCTTCCCGGGGAGTGATCAGAAAAGCCAGGACTTGCAGACGTGCTCCCATCGCTCACTCGCACCTTGGCTTCCCCCCTCCATGGGAAAGGTTGTGGAACCTCCTGGCTGTTGGTGAGCAAGTCAGAGAGCCCTGGGGGAAGGGGGGGTTGGCAAACCCAGGGAGAGCTCTGATTTCCACACAAGTGCCAGTGTTCTTTGTGGTGCCATAAGGAGGCTTTCCGTGTCACGTGTGGCTTTGGTGTGACAGTGTGGTGATGTCTTTACATTCTGATCTCAGTGCTGACCATAACAGAGCAAGTAGGGGAAGAGAAAGGGAATCAGAGCCTCTTGCTCTGATAATCTGAGAACTAGCCCATTTGGGTCTCTGTTTTATCCACATGTCTTGTGGGGCACTTTCCAGTCCAATGATCTGCATCTTAAAGGAAGCAGAAAACCTGGATTTTAGGTAAAGGTTATTTAAATGCAGCATTTTGCTGCTAGAAGAATGATGGCTAGGGGACTACTTAGCTGCAAGTATTAAAGAACTCTTTCACAGAAGTAGGAATACCGTAGAGAAACCAGCAAAAGCATGGGTGGAGAGACAGGATTCCAGTAAAGGGAATGAGCTAGAATAATCTTCTGGTATCTCAGAAAGAATAGTTATAAATGCTGTTCTGTCTACAGCATCTGTTTTGTGAAAGACAAAACTTACTTTGCAAAATGTGAGAATGCTGTTACTGACCTCCTGTCACAGTTTGTTATTCCCAGAAAGTCAGACTGCCAGAGACAGTATGGCAGTCATAGTTGTTTGTTGTCTCACTTTTCTGTTTAGTGAATAGAAGTGGGTTTTTTTGAACCAAAAGGATTCAGTGCTCCTGAAATACACCAGTCTTATTTTTGCATCCATGTAGTAGCAGAAAGTGACAGTTTTTAGTTCTTACTCTGTTTTTTTTTTTAGTGTAATACTTTTCCTCCTGCAGCTTTGAAACTTCTAATGCAGTCAGTCTCATCTTTTTGTTTCAAAACTGAAAGGGAGGGAGAAAAACATCTTAATGCCTATGATTATGGGAGGCACGTGTAGCTTAATGAGAGTCTCACAAACATAAATATCCTGGCTCTTGGTTTTGGTCATATGCTGACTGTTCAATATTTTCATAGCCAATGAGTCTGTGCAGAAAGCCTTGGGAATTCTGGATCAACACATAAATGGGCGGCCTGGAAGTGCCAAAGGTCTGATGTGTACCAGCTTCCAGCAGTTACCTGTGCTTGGAGTTAGTGATTATGTCTCATGAAGCACAGGATAGAGACCTACACGCCTTGTCTCTTGTGAGGCACAGGACATCAAGTGAAACCAAAGAGATGTGAAAATCTATGAAAAAAAGGTGCGTGTTGGTTGAAGCTGCCATCAGATTACTTGAGGAGAGTGGAGAGTCTTTGTTACAACTGGTGACCAAATTCAGGTTCTCAAAGGAGCTCTTTTGAGGCATGGAAGTACTGCAGGATCCTTTGTACAGTGGGAAGGGTTGTTCTCTGCAATAGAGAAGTTGGGACACAAATCAGGAGAGAGAACTAGGGCTTCTGCAGGTGGCTGTGTGTATTTTCTGCTTTAGAAACTGTGGTCAGTTTAAAAATCCAAGTGTATGCTCTTGAAGCACTTTCATATGTCAGTGCTTTCACT